TACCTCCGAACCCAAGTCACGGTAATTCTTAATCACTAACCATGAGCAATTTGCGATTCGAGAGCTACATTATTCTTCTGCATCTTTGCGATGGTCTGCTGCAAGGCATCCTTTTCCGTATCAGCATTGCTTATTTCACGGCGAAGAGATCGAAGATGTGCTTCTCGACCTGAAAAGTAAAGAGAACCAGTTACACGCAAGATCCACTGAAGTGCTGCAGAATGACACACTTTTGTTGTATTCTAGAAACTCAGTACTGAAAATCGAAATGTTGGAGTTTGGCAACGTAGGTACCACCATTTCGTCTTTGTCAGCATTCTGCAAAACACAAGTATTTGGCAAAAAAAAAACAGCCGCAGATCAGGAACAACGGCCTTTGAAGGAATAGGAAAGCCGTAAATACCTTGTTTTTAGGGGCGCTTTCTTCTGTCTTCTTGGTGTCCTTCGTTTAGTTCTTCCAGATCGAATGATTCACCGAGTTCTTCCTTGGGGTTCAATCCCAATCTACGGCGCTGCTTTCGTAACCGCATAATTTGCTCTTTCTTCGCTAAAAAATGAATAATATATTACTGTGATCCCAGAAGAGTTGAGCATACGACTAGCAACATGAAGAAAAGAACGAATCAGTTCAAAGTTGAAATCAAAGCAAGACAACTGGTTTGAAGGAGCGAGATGTCTACCCTTTCGATCAGCTGGCTTACAGATAATGAATGATAACAAATTCTGTAAAATGACTGTCGGTCAAACGGTTAAAACCTGAGTGAAAGGAATGATCGTGATGAAACAAAGAAAACAAGTGATTAGTTGGTGGAAACAAGACGGACAAAGGATCCAGGCATTTTGTTACGTTCCTATAAGCTTTACGTTCGCCCTATCCTGGAATGTGGTACAACGGTATTTAACCCCTACACCAAAAAAGATATTCAAGCGCTGGAATCTGTTCAGAACAACTTTACTCGTAAACTAATGCTTAGATGTACGGGCTTAAACTACTTAGATATACCTAGAGGTTTCTGTTAGGAATACGACGTACGGGCTTAAATCTCTCGAGTGGAGGAGGAAGAGATATGATTTACTGATGGCTTACAAAATATTAAATGGCTTAGTGAAATTGGACGTTGAACAGTTTTTCCAAGTACTGTCTACTAATACAAGAGGAGTGAGTATCAGACTTAGTGCCACGTTTGCTAGGACTCAGTACAGGTCAAGGTTTTTTAGTAATAGAATTTGTACCAACTTCAATTCGCTCTTACGTTCGAATGTGTTCCCTTTGAAAGTATGCTACTTTCAAGAGGCGGGTCGGTGATTTCATTTGAAGTGTTGTAGTTACTGTCTGCATATGTGAGCGTAGAAGCAACATAATCGGTTTTTATCTGAGCTGGTTTTTGTTTTTTTTTTGTTTTTTTTAACATTTTATTTGTTCCTGTT